ACTACTACTACTGCTACTACTAACTACTACTACTACTACTACTACTACTACTACTACTACTACTACTACTACTACTACTACTACTACTACTACTACTACTACTACTCACACTACTACTACTACTACTACTACTACTACTACTACTACTACTACTACTACTACTACTACTACTACTACTACTACTACTACTACTACTACTACTACTACTACTACTACTACTACTACTACTACTACTACTACTACTACTACTACTACTACTACCTACTACTACTACTACTACTACTACTACTACTACTACTACTACTACTACTACTACTGCGGTTTCGACTACGAGGGGCCGGAGGGAGGTGGGCGGGGCAGGATCAGGCGGATGAGGAAGAGGAGGAAGAAGAGAAGGGCGAGCTGAAAGGTCAGAACCCTCGTGGATGTCTGTCAGAGTCTCCTTGGATGTCTCTGGACTTGGAGTCCTATTGGAGCGTTTTGTGGGTCTCTGGGGCGCTTCTTGGGGACCTCTTGGGACCTCTCGGGCGCCTTGGGGCCCTCTTTGGACCCTCATGGCGGGGGTGCCGCTGCTGCCGGGTGTGGTGGTGTTGCCTTGCCTTGAGGCAGCGATGTTGGAGGCGGACATCAGAGGAGGAAAAGGTACCCATTCCCCCAGTCTCCCCCTGTTTCCCCCTTTTGCGTCTCCTGGGAGTCCCTCGTCGACACCGCTGGATTCGCCTCGAGATCCTGGTCAGAATTCACCCTGGGAGAGGTCCGGGGAGTACAGTCAACTTGCAGAGTAAGAATGAGCGACTTACGCTTGCATCCTTGTCCCTTCGGCCCATCCTTGGTAGTTTTCATTGGCTGGCCTCGTTCGAGACACGTTACCGTCCAAGGCCCTTGCGTCCTTACCGCGCATCCTTATGATGCGGGTTGACTGTATCGGTCTCGGTACCTCCTGGTCTCCCTGTAAGAGGGTGGCTCGTGTCTCCGCTGGAGTGGTGGGTCTGGTGCGGAGGGGCCGGCGGCAGGGGGGCGCCCTCGTGCGTCCACGGTGCACCATGACGTGCAGCAGTGCGCGAGTGTTGCGGGGGGGGGGGGGGGGGGGGCGCGAGCTGGTGCACGGGCGACTTTTGGCTGCGGGTGCTGAAAGATACGCAACTGCATTCACGCGCAGGTGCTGCGTCCAGCGCGCAAGCTGGTGCACACGGGTGCCAAATATTGCAGGTGTTGTTGCACCTCTGCCCCCGCGGAGCCATCTGCGCCAGACCCACTGCTCCTCCTCCTCCTCCTCCTCCTCCTCCTCCGCCTCCTCGATCCTCCTCCTCGATCCTCCTCCTCGATCCTCCTCCTCCGACTTTACATTGTGGCGGCAGGCACAGCTCCGCCGATCGAGAAAGGAGGAGGAAGAGCCGCTGCCGGAGGCGAGAGCTCGCTGGACCGCCCGCCTGGCCTTGAAAGTCAAGGGGCCGTGCCCGACCTGCGTCGTCGGCCACGTGCTCCTGTTTCCTTCCCCCTCGTCCTCCTCCTCCTCCTCCTCCTCCTCCTCAGCTCGTGTTGATCGCTGAAGCTTTCTGCTTCGCCGAGCGCCTCGCGGGACTGTCTCTCCAGCCGGCTAAATGTGTAGCTGTCCCCCTGTGGTCGCCCATCACATCTCAGGTCCGCAGCCAAATTTTTGCTGACCTTGGGGCCGCCTGTTCTAATTGGCGCTCGCTTCAGGTTTCTGATGTTGCGAAGTACCTCGGTGTTTGGCTTGGGCCTGGAGCTACAGCTGATCTCCAGTGGGAAGCTCCTGCGGAGAAGTGGTGGTCGCGCATCCTCCTGGCTTGCATCACTCGTTCTCCTCCGTCTGCCCTCACGTTCCTGCACTCATCTGCCATTCTTTCCACGCTGAGCTATGTTGCCCAACTTGTCCATCCCATTGCTCGTCTGCTTAGGCGGGAGTTTCACGGCTTGCATAAGCTGTACCGTCTCCCGCCCAGTTCTTTGAAGAGGGCAGACGTTCTCTCGTTCAAGCTCTGGTGTCGTGGAGGTGGCCCAGGCTCGATCATTGCCCTTTGCATCGCCTCCCGATGGCGTACTTGTACCACCACGCTGACGGGGTGGCGGAGCTCGTTCGAGCGGTTACAGCAGGCTGCCGCGGATGCCGCCCCCGTCCTTCGCTCCTGCGATGGTCAATGGTCTCCGGCGTGGTGGGCTGAGCAGACATCGATCGTTCAGAGGTTCTCGAATGCGTGCATGTGCCAACCCATCTTATTCCCTAGCTCGTGCAAGATTTCGCCAGAGATCCAGCGCGCTGCCATTAGAGCGGGGAGGGCTGAGATGTCTAGGGGTTCTCGCGATAGGGGAGGGACGCAAACCTAAGGTGCAGCGCGCTGCCAACGACCATCTCACGCGTTCTCTGCTGACCGCTTCTCTGAAACCATCCGTAGGCGCCTGAGCAAGTGGTTTCTTCTCCTTCCTCTTCCTCCTGATCTCGAGGCCCGCTGGCTTTTTCTCCGCTCCGACCTCGCTCGCTGCAAGCCGACGATTCGCTGGTGTGCAATTAAAACGTTGTGTGGCGCCTGGACCACGAGCAATCGGATGGACGTTGTTCAGGGCTCGAAAGCTTGCCTCATGGGATGGTCTGACGGAACATATATATATATATTGTACAGCACTATCTCGTCTGTGATCAGTTTCTAGAGCTTGTGGCCGACCCTCAGCGACCACCTGGGTTTGGGCGGGGAGGCGGCGCACGTGGGTCGGCACTCGCTCGGATCTGGTGTGCGCTCTCATGCCATAGTCTTCTACATATATCATGCCATGAAGGGGGAATCGCCCCCCCCCCCCTCAAGTTCACATCACTGCGCCTGCCGCTGCACGCTTCTGTGCTCTCGCCGTCCAGCGTCTGCGCGAGGCTTAGGCGACCAGGACTCCTCAGGGGACGTTCACTCCTCCTCCTCTTCCTCCTCCTCCTCATCATCATCCTCTCCTCCTCGCCCTGATCCTCCTCCTCCTCCTCCTCCTGCTCCTGCTCCTGCTCCTCCTCCTCATCCTCCTCCTCCTCCTCCTCCTCTTCCTCATCCTTCTCCTCCTCCTCCTCCTCCTCCTCCTCCTCCTGCTGCTCCTCCTTCCCCAGGAGGACGAGATCACGGAGAAGAAGACCAAGCAGACCACACACATCAGGCGCCGATCGAGGGAGGTGGTCTTTGCAAGCAGGGCCGTCAGGCTTGAACGGCGGCAAGCTGGATGATGCGCCTGTGGCAGAAGCCCACGCTCAAGGCTTCGGTGTAAGCACATCCAGATTGCCATATAGATCGATTGGAGGCGTAATGTCATTTTCCGCGACCTTCCAGTCTGTTCTGGTATCGCGCCAAACAGGCCCAGGAGGTGGGGAGCGGTCCAGGAGGCGCCCAAGGGAAGGGAATATAGAGGGAGATGGGAGGTTCTGGAGCAGGAAAGGAAAGAGGGGAGGTGAAGTAATTAGCGGCGAGAGGAGGAGGGACAAGTTGAGGAGGAGGAAGGAAGGAAGCAAGGAAATCGAGGACTGCGGGTAGACCTCAGCGAAAGCCTCGCAAGGATTGCGCAGACGCCCCAGTGCATCTGCCCTCTGTGGCCTGTGACCTGAGTCGAGGCTTGACTCAGCGAGTTGGTGAGCCAAGGGCTCCTCCGTCCCCATCTCCCCTCTTCACTTCCCCCTGCTCGTTCTTTTGGTCCACCCTCTTCTCTCATCCTTGCCCTCGCGCCCCTCCCGCTCCCGTCTCCTCTCTTCTTTGCCCCTTCTCCTCCCCGCCCCCTCCAATCCCAAGGAGAAGTGCGAGCGGGAGGAGGAAGGGGAGGACGAGGAGGAAGGTCAGGAGCAGGAGGAGGACTGTTTTCTGGGGGATCTCTGGAGCGGGAATCCGCGCTGCGTGGTGTGGCGCACAGGGAGACACTGCCAAGCGATTCCCGTCGGAGCACTGCTCGCCGCACGCACCCAAAGACCCCCGCCTCGCGCGGCACCTGCATGCAGGTTCACGGGTCAACCGGCGGGGAAGAAGAGCGACGCAGAAGAGCAGCAAGTGGAGCAGGAGTCGGAGGTGGAGGAGGGGGGAGGCCGGGCGCGTCCAGATCGAGCGCGAGAAGGGAGGGGTCCGTAGCAAGTCATTGGAGCCTCGCATACCCTCGCAATTCCGCCCTTAGAGTGCACAAGCGAGATTAGAGTCTGGTAGTCGATGGGAAAGCGCCGGCCTAGTGTCGATCAGCGTCGATTCAGCGCCGAATCGCATCGGTGTAGCGTCAATCAGCGTCGATTCGTAAGAGCCAACTAGATGGTATAGTAGGCTGCCCCTGGTTGCTGCAGGTGGGGGTGAGAGCGAAGTTCCAAGCGCGAACGTCTAGCAAAAATCAGGCGATCGCAAACATGGATCAAGGGGGGGTGGATTAGCGGCGGGCCCCGTTTCCATCGGGAATCGTGGATTTCTGCCGCCGAATGAGGCGGCACCTGCCGCAGTTTGGAGAGGGCACTTCCCCCGAGCCATGGATTTGGAGACCGCGCGCCACATCCATGGATCGTGCTTGCGCGCCCCCGAAGAAAGAGCCGGCGGCAAAACGCGGGCAGCCCTCCGCTGCTGATCGCCAAGCTGAAGCCCTTCGGCTGCGTGGACAACGAGACGGGCACCACTGACCCCTTCATGTGGTTCTTCGCCTCCGCGGGCAAGGCGAACCGAGGGGAGCGATCATTCTGCGTCCTCCTCCTCCTCCTCGTCCTCCTCATCCTCCTCCTCCTCCTCCTCCTCCTCCTCCTCCTCCTCCTCCTCCTCCTCCTCCTCCTCCTCCTCGTCCCTCCTCCCCCTCTCCTCCCTCCTCCTCCCTCCTCCTCCTCCTCCTCCTCCTCCTCCTCCTCTCCTCCCTCCTCCTCCTCCTCCTCCTCCTCCTCCTCCTCCTTCCCCTCCTCCTCCTCCTTCTCCTCCTCCTCCTCCTCCTCCTCCTGCTCCTCCTCCTCTCCTCCTCCCCTCCTCCTCCTCCCTCCTCCTCCTCCTCCTCCTCCTCCTCCTCCTCCACCTCCTCCTCCTTCTCCTCCGGAACCGAGGAGGAGGAGGAGGCACATAAGATTTGTTTCTGTCCGCGTGGGTTTCTTGGACTGTCGGCCGTCGTCGAGGATCGAGGACCTCAGGGGCAGCGTGAGGTGGAGGGAGATCGAACAAGAGCAACCAGCATGAACATAACTTGTCGGCGGTCCGCGCGGATTTCTTCGACCGTTGGTCGTCGACGGGGATCGAGGATCTCAGGGGCATTGTTAGGGCGTAGGGGATACCGAAGCAGAGCACACAGCTTCAACGAACCTTGGACGGTCCGCGAGGATCCCTTGGATCTGTGCTGGAGCCCCCGGGCGGCGCGTCTGTTGCCCGCCGCAGGTCCAAGAACTCCGCGCGGACCGTCAACAGTTTATTCAGGAGCCTTACGCCATTCCGCCAACCCTCAGAAGAGGCGGGGAGTCCACGGTTGAGGCGTCGTGGGCTCCTTGGGCACTATTTGGGGACTTTGGTGGGCGTCTTGGGAGTTGTTTGGGGGCCTGGCGGAGCCTCTTGGACGCAGTTTTGAAGCATCTCGGGTCCCGTTTGGAGGACCTTTTTGGGGCCTCGTCAGGGCCTCTTGAGGCTCACTGAGGGCCGTTTTTGGGCAGTTTTGGGGACCGTCAACAGTTTCTGTTTATGTCTTTTCTTCTGTCTCTAATGCGGTCGGGCCGAGGTATACGATCGAGGTCGGTTCGGGGAGGGCACCACAATGTTCTTCGTGTTCTCACGATCTTGGAGGATGGTGCCCTCGAATATCCTTCAGTTTGGCCGGTGGAGGGTCTCGTGTTCTTAAGTTGAAGGATGTGATTCTGTCCTAGATCCGACCGTTTTTCTTCCTCTGATGCCGGCAGGGCCCCCTGCAGCGGCGGCGATGCTGGCGCGGGCGGTCGGGGTGGAGTTCCCTCGGGGCCCAGGCCCCCCCCCGCACCGTGAAAAAGCACGACGGCGGTCTCTGGGTCGTTTTCTGCTTCTGGGGACCTGCGCCCGATGGAAAGGAAACTCCAGCCTGCACGGATGCGGATGTGTGTTTGTGTGCCAATGGCAGGAAGTCGTCGCCCTCCAGGGGCTCTTCAGCCGACACGGCACGCGCTGCACTGAAGCATCGGACGAAGGTCACGGAACCGGGAGCATCAGCAAAACAGGTCGGGATGTAAAACAGACCTTGGGGAAAGGTTCGGTGTTCCTTGATTGTTTTACAGTTTGCTTTAGGTTTTCTCGAGACTTCCCATTGGAAAAGGAGGTTTAACCTATGGGTAAAGAGCGACCTCGTTCCTTGTTTAGCGTTCTTTGGGTCAACGCCCCGACTGTATGGAAGAAATTAAGGCGTCGGATGTCTGGAGGAGCCCGGCTCCCAGCTGCCCTCGAGGCGTCTGGGCGTGTGTGGGGCCTCGTGGGGCCCCCTTGGGGCCACGATGGGATCCGTGCCTCGGGGCGTTGGTCGGAGCGCACCCCCGAAGCCCTCGAGGCGTTCGGGCGTGTGTTGGGCCCGACGGGGCCCCCTCAGGACCATCGGCCATGGTCGGATCCGCCTCGGGGCTCTGGTCGGAGCGTGCGATCCCCTCCTCCTCCTCCTCCTTCTCCTCCTCCTCCTCCTCCTCCTTCTCCTCCTCCTCCTCCTCCTCCTCCTCCTCCTCCTCCTCCTCCTCCTCCTCCCCCTCTACAGGAGGAACAGTCAAAAATAGTCCCAAAATTGTATGGGGACTATCTGTTTGACTATGTTTGATTTGTGGCTCTCGTTTCCAACTCTTGTGGGTGCATGTTTTTAGCTGCCGCCCAGCACCCGCCTGTAGAAGGACACGCCCGATCCAAACCCGGGCCCCCTCGCGTCGTGGAGGTGTCCCGACGCGAGGCTCCTGGCAGCGCTCTGCCTCTGAGAGGCCCCTGAGGCAGGCTCGCGCCGCGCTGCCGCGGCGGTGGCCCCAGCGCGGGCGCTCCAGGGTGGAACGCCGCCGGTGGCCGAGCCCCCCGAACGCGTCGAGAGCCTTGAGACGGGGGTCGATGCAAACGGGGGCCAGCCAAAGCGCCGGATCTTGCAGCATCCTGCAGGGCCAGGGTCACACGGACCCCCTCGAGTCATGAAAAAATCACGACGAGAGGGTTTTCATTCATTTTCGGCCTCCGGGGGCCCTCACCGGGCCTCGGGACCGTCAAAAAACGATTCGGGATGAAAAGCCGGCCCCGGGGAAGGGGTCCGGACCTCTGGGGGTCGCGTCATGAAAAAATCATGACGTCGGGGGTCTGGGTCGCACGGACCCGGGCTTGGGTGCAGGATCCTGCAGGGTCTCGCGGGAGCCTTCGCAGTGACCCCAGCTTGGGTGCAAGGTCCAACAGCAGTTCAGGACTCGCTGTACACGCCGCCGCGGCCTGTGTCCATGTGAGATCGGTCGAGAAGTGGGTAATGAGATCGATGGTGAGACCGATCGATGAGAGGATCGACCAGGAACCCGGGAACCCGGGAATCTCGCCGCCCTCCGAAATCGGCCCGGAACCCGGAACCGGGAGCCCAGGAACCCGGAACCGGGAACCCGGGAACCCAGCGTGCGACCAACATCGGCGGGACACTCTCGCCAAGTCTTTCAGCTGCCGCGAGGACCCCTTCAGTGCAAGCACTGACTACTGGGGAACATAGAGGGGGGGGGGGGGGGCAGAGCGCTGCGGAAAAGGGGCCTTGGAGGGCCAAAAGAGGGGCCTTCAGGGCCCGAGAAGTGCACCTTCCTCCCCCCCAATTCATCTCCAGGCCTCCCAGATGGGGTCCGAGCAGATGGGATCGGATCGCGCCGTGTCGGCGATGCGCCGGCGGTGCGGCTCGATGTGGGGCCCGATGTTCTCCATCCTGGCGCCGCCGACGCACCGCCGATGCATCGGCGGTGCGCCGCGATCCTCCGACCCCATCTGTCCCGACCCCCTCTGGGAGGCCTCTACTTCAGCGAGCGAAGAACGGTACAACATAAACTTTTTTTGGCCGTCGGGGACACCTGCCCCCGGGCGGCTGGGAAGTTGATACCCCTGTACGGTGCCACTGTGTGAGGGTGTAAGCTTTCCAGCCGCCCTGGGGCAGGTGTCCCCGACGGCGAAAAAGCTTATGTTATACCGCTCTTCGCCCGTTAACTATCAGGAGGGAAAGAAACACACAGACACAATTAATCGTCGACTCCCAAGAAAATATAGGAAAATATGGGGGGAAGTGGGGGGGAAGACAGAAACCCAGAAAATATGGGAAAATATGGGGAATATTTTTTTGGTGTGTATTTATTTGTGTGTCCTGGGGGCCCTTCAGACTAATGCATCGCTCCCCCCGCAGGCAGCGACGCGCCCAGAGATAGCGGGGTCGGGACTGCGCGGGGCCTCATTAGAGAGACCTTCGAGAGCGGAGCCCGCGCAGGCTACCGAGAGGGCAAATTCGCGAGAGAGACTCCGGGCGTTGGCCCGGAGCTCTCTCGGGCCTGCCGCCGCGCTTTTTGTCGGGGGTGGACAGAACCCCCAACAGTGACACGTCGATTAGTGAATTGTCCGTTCTCGGTTCTCGAGAGGGCGCCGCGGCCGTTATTTTCCAGGCTTGCGCCCGCCAGGTGTAGGCCTCAGGTCGTTTTCACTAAACCACGTTTTACTAAAGGGGGGTCTGTCCATCCCCGACTTTGGCGGTGTTGGCTTTGGCCCGAGGAAGAAAAAACGCCATGGAGGGGGGCCCGGCGCGGGTCCGAGAGATCCGCGCGGAGCACGAACAGTTTGTTATGTTCATTATGGCGTTGTGGTGTCTTCTATGTGACGGTCCGGGTGTCGTACAGTCCAGCATCTGATTCAGAGACCTCCTCCCGAGAAGCTGGACCAGCGCCTCTGAACCACTTTGCCGGAACGGCCCAGTCTCTGGAGCGCGTTCGCCTCTCCCCAGCGTTAGCACGGACACTGGGCCCGGGCCTGCCTTCGGAAGCTTCCAGAGAGCTGGCCCAGGTCTCTCGCATGATAAGTTTCCTGATCCTGTGTTCGGCTGTGAGGTGTCTGCACCGGGAGCCCGCGCCACATCTCAGACCAGGTCACGTCATGTTCCTGACGGCCCCGGCAGGCAAAGTCGAGCCCACCAGATTCGGGTCTGGCGTCGCGTCCAGGGAGGAGCGCGCCGTGGATGCGAGGGAGGACTGTCTTCTCCAAGGGTAGCAGCACGTTGGATGGCTCTTGGATGCCTCGGCGTGCGAGCTCGCCTCTCGGGGGGGCCTCCTCCTCCCGCCTCCTTCGAGTCCATGATGAGTCGCCCCCCTTCCTGCTTCCACTCGCCCCCCCTCCTCATTCCCAGTACTGTCCCGATCCTCCCTCTCGTTACTTGTCATCCTCCTTCGCCTACCGCTGCTCGTCCTCTTCCTGCTCCTGGTCCTCCCACTCCTCCGCCTCAGCATCATCGTCCCCTCCGCCCCCCCCGATTAATCCCCATCCTCCCCATCATTGTCCATCCTCCCTCCTCAATCGGTCCTCCTCGGCGGTTATTGTTTCATGGGGCACTCCCCGCAATGAAAAGATTGAAGTGGCTTACGCCATTCCGCCGACCTCCAGGAAGGGGTGAGAGTTTGCGACGCTTGTGGAAGGCATGTGCTGAATCAGGAGCCCCTTGGATTCATATGAGCGGCTCGTGGGAAGGTTCTCGGGGGCATTTC